ATTGCAAATTATTTAATACACTCAATTAATATTAAATATAATTAATATTAAGGCAATTATTAATTTTTTTCTTTTTTGAGGAAGGGTCTCTCTTTGTAGTTCAGGCTGGCCTCGATCTCAGTGATCCTCCTGCCTCAGCCTCCCAGGTGCTGGGATTACAGGCGTGTGCCACCATGCCCGGCTTATTAATATAAAATTTAATGAAAAATATGAAGTAAATGAGGTAACGTAAAAGGAATAAAGGTAGGTAGAAAGGAGAAAAGAAAATTGTACTTTTAAGAAAAACTGCAGTTTCAGGACACAAAAGTTACTTGCATCTTTTTTCCTTTCAAAAAACACTCAAAAAAATTTCTAAGGGTATTAAAGACACAGTAAGCCTATAAATTGGGCTCTGGGTCTGGGCTTTTTACCTGTAAATTGAGCTTTCTCTCAAGACATCCACCCTCAAGGAAGCAGCAATATTCACAGGCAGCAGATCTCAATTTCAAATACATGTAAATGATTGCATTTTAACATATCCTGCCAGAAGAGTTACCCGACAGACAGCAGGAATATACATCCTAGATATCCAGTCTAAGAGACACCCCTAAGACTCCAAACATATATCCAACTCCGAATCATAAGGGGCTGTTCTCTTTTTTTTTTTTTTGGTACCAGGGATCGAAGTCGGGTCCTTGCGCTTGCACAGCAGGTGGCAAAACCACTGAGCTAAATCCCCGGTCCTTTAGTTTTTATTTTTTTGAGATAGGGTCTTGCTATATAGTTTAGGTTGGCTTCAAAGTTGCGGGGACCCTCCTGCCTCAGCCTCCTGAGTGCTGAGATTACATGCATGTGGAACCATGCTCAGATGTTTTGTGTACTTTTAAACTGCTAATAAACCCTTTCTGTGACTCTTAATGACAAGTCCTGAAAATTCTTTTTCTGTTACTGATGTCAGTAAACCTGTAATTTAACTTCATGGGTAGGGTGGAAACCTCCTTGGAGGATCAGGTAACAGTAAACACCCATAAACCTCAGATCAAAACAGAACACAAGGCTGGAGATGCAGCTCAGTGGTAGAGTGCTTGTGCAGCATGTATATGGGCCTGCTTTCAATCCCCAGTACCATAAAATAAATAAAATAAAAAAGAAAGCAACCAGCAACCCCAAATCCCTAAGAGGTAAGCAGTGGTGTGAGCCACAGCAATGTGTAAATGATGCTAGCTACACTGGTACTCCTGTCTTAAGAAGGGCCAATAAAAGCAACTAATAAAATGTGTGAGATGGGCTTAGGATTTAGCTCAGTGGTTCCAGCGCCTGCCTCACAAGTGCAAGGTCCTGAGTTTGATACCGGATACAAAAAAAAAAAGTGAGAGCTCTAACTCTGCCCACTCCCCCGCAACTCAGATGAAACCATTCTTCTCTCGCTTTTTCTTTATAGTTTTTGTACTTATTTAGATGAATCACAAATTTCCAGATGCTTGTAAACCAAAAAACCCCACCAAATTCCTGATTTGAGTCACTTGGTGAATTTAATCATTTGTTACGCCCAAGAATACTGCACAATGAAGGAGAATGCTACTCAAAGTTATTGGTCCAAGAGAGAAAACTTATGCCAGAATGCAAAACAACTATGTCTTTGGGGACACTGCATAGTTAGGGTGATACTTTGTAGTAAGACTTCCTTAATGAAAGTGCCCAATACATCCTGGTGCAAGTCTCTCATCGCAGAAAAGTGACAGCTTTCCGAGTAGTTTTAGTCCACATTTTAGGGAGCATGCTTGCTCAAGATATGAATTATGTGTTTTCTTACACTAAAATAATGTGTATAAGAGAAATAAACATTTTATATGTATAGATCATAACATTAAAAGATATTATTTAAATGAGATAGGTAGACGTGATAAAAGAAAACACTGAGTTGGGCCTATTAATCCCAATATTCTGGGAGGCTAAACTGAGACAGGATCAGAAGTGAGCCCAGTTTGGGCAATTCAATGCCCAAAATTAAGTCTCAAAATTAAAAATTATAAAGGGCTGGGAATGTAACTTAATATGAAGAACTTACATTGAATCCTCAGCACAAAAAAAAAACACAATAAAGTAAGGAAACACTGGAATCTATGAAATGATAAGCCTATAGTGACAATATACTTTATCACCCAAATTGTCATTTTTGAGTGATGATAGCAATAATTATGATAGGATACAGATATAAATTAGGATTGTCCCAGGAAAAAATAAACATGGTCACCCTAGGATCCCCTAGGGTGAGAGGGATGAGGAGTGGTAATGAACAGTACTGTTTATATGACCCCAGCAAGATCTGTAATCCTGAGTAGAGAACAGCTGGTTTGCAATGATAGCTAGCCCTGCACTCTACCATCCACCTGCACACATGCAAACTCACTGGTGGGAGGATGCGGCTTGGATGCAGAACTTTAATAACAGGTCCAAGTTGTTACAGGGAATATTTGTAAGTGGTCAGATGGTGAGGGAGACCCATTTCTGAAGTTTTTAATCAAAGGAATCACACCACAATTGTTAACTATTGCCATGATGCTGCGAAAGACACCCACAGAATGGTGCTACTCAGTAGCTGGCACAAAAGCCATGACTGTGAGAGGGATGGGAGTGGGATTCCTCAGCCACTCGGGCATAGGACACATGGTAATAATTCTGGCTTTGCTTCCACTTTTTTCTTGCAGTCTTTTTGAGACTAACAGCCGTCCTCTGTGGAACATGCTAGGTCTGTCATAAGAAATTCATTCTCCTTGATGAACATCTGAGAACTTTAAAAAGTGGGTGGGTGGGTAAAATGTGATCATAGATGGCTTGTCATTCAGCTGTGCCTTTGGATGGGGCATCTTTTCATTACTGGGTGAAAGTGATGGAACCGCTGGGTGGTGGCGAGGAGATAAGTGTGGCTTCCTGGATGTAGCACTGAGAGAAGAGGTACTCTTGTCTCTGCTGCTTTGGGCTGGGGAAAGGTAAGATGGGGCAACCCAGCTCAGTATAGTCAAACTTTCTGTAGGAAGCCAGTAGGGAGTGTTGACAGTAGTATTTTCTTAAATGGGGAGTTGAGGGAAAAGAGGCAAAATGAGGCAAACACTTTCAGGGCTACTGTAAAGAATAAAAGTGATGATACCCAAGTACCTAGCTGTGATATTATGACATACTTATTTCGGTATTTTGTCCTCAGTTCCTGGCTCATCATTCCTCTGCAATAGGCCATAGAAACTTGAATTTCTCTTTGGTAAAGTGGGTCATACAATTTCTAATCCCCTACTCCCTTTCTGTCTTGGAACTGGCTACAAAGAAATTCTTTGTATTTTGTTTTTTTTGTTACCAGGGATCGAACTACAAAGAAATTCTCTAATCTATATCTACATGAAAATGGGTCCTAAAACCTCTTTATTCCAGGGAGGTCCTACCCCATACTCTGGAGGAAGGAATGTTGCAGAGAAGCCAAGAATACTGAAGCAGACAGGCCTTGCTGAGTTTCCCTGTCCAGTATGTTGGTATTAGATGAGCAATGAAGTCTTCATAAAACTCTAAATGACAGGGTTTGGAGTTTCTCAGTTAGCTGAACATTATGTAGAGGTTCCTGGAGGGTGGCAGGTACAAAAAAGGCATGGAAGCTCTGTTCCCCAACCCCACACTTTGCCCAGTGTATCATTTCATCTGTAGCTTTTGTAATATCTTTTATAATAAAGTGATAAATGTAATTTCCTTTGAGGTTTTATTTGTTTATTATTTATTTTTTGTATTTGGGATTGAACTCAGGGCCTTCACACAGAGCTGTATTTCTAGGCCATATTATTGTTTTTTCTCAGTACCGGGGATCGAACTAGTACCAGGGATCGAACTCAGGAGCTTGCACTTTTGAGACAAGCACAGAGCTACTGAGCTAAATCCGGGCCCTCCAGTCCTTATTGAGACAGGGTCTCATTAAGGCTAGGCTCAAACTTACAATCCTCCTGACTTAGTCCCTCAGAGTGTTGGCATTACAGGTGTGAGGCACCATTCCTGTCATATCCCTGATTTCTGTGAGCCACTCAAACAAATTAACTGAACCTGAACAGGGGGCTGTGGGAACCCTGATTTATAACCAACAGGTCAAAAGAATGAATTAAGACAACCTGAAGTTTACAACTGTCATCTACAGGGGGTTGTCTCGAAAAGGCAGCCTTGGGGACAGATTCACTAGACTTGGGATCTGATAATACCTCCAGGTAGACAGTATTATAACAATTGGAATAGAGAATACCCATATGTTATCTATTATTGCAGTATTGCTTGCTTACTGGTGGAGAGAAATTCTCACAGCTTTTAACGTCACAGAAATCTTGTGTTAATTCCTGTGTGAAAGCAGAGAAGGCAAAACAGACACTATTTTCTTGACAGGTAATACATTCAATCAGGCTGACTTTATTTTTTTGTGGAACTGGGGATTAAACTCAGGGCCTTTGGACTCAACTACACCCCGAGCCCCCTCCCCCACCTTTTTGGTACCGGGGATCGAACTAAGGTCCTTGCACTTGCAGGGCAGGCGGTGGAACCACTGAGCTAAATTCTCAGCCCCTTCCCCAGCCCTTTTTTGAGACAGGGTCTCACTGAGTTGCCCAGGCTGGGCTCAAACTTGTGATCTTCTTGCCTTACAATGACCAGCGTGCACCACACCTGGCCTCAATCAGGCTTTCACAAACAAGCACTCTTTGATCATTATGCAGTGTGTGTATGTGTGTAAAGCGAGAAGGGGGGGGGGAGGGAGACGGGGGGAGAGAGAGAAAAAGACAAATTCACAAGTATATCAATTCTCCATGAGGAAGAATGAACATTTCTTAAATATGTCAGGTACCAAGGATTCCACATATTTCTTCTTTTACTCTGAAATCACCCATGTCTCCCCAACTCCACAATCTATCACCACTGTTTTTTAAAGTCAAATAGATTTGCCACATTAGGTGGGGTCCAAAGGCTGGTGTTTGCTGTGGGTTTCCTTTAGACTCCGCCCTTACCACTACTTAGAGAATCTGCACTCCCGGGGCTGTGTTGCCTGGAGACCAACTCAGTCCCTGTTTTCCTCATCTCTGTATTTTCATTAAATCGTCTTTTCCAGTAGTTCAGTTCTTCCCGATCAGATTCCTGACAGCGCCTGAGAACTGCCATAGAGCGCCTGGTTTTCTCCACCATTTCCATTATGCAGTTCAGGGCCTGAGCCAGAGAAAAAGTCAGAGATGAGCTGAGGAAATTCAAATAATGAATAATGAAAATCAAAGACATGTAAACACAGTATTGGGCTGGGGATTTAGCTCAGTGGTTCCAGCACCTGTCCCGAAAGCGCAAGGACCCGAGTTCGATCCCCAGTACCAAAAAACAAAACAAAACAAAACAGGGCCGGGATTTAGCTCAGTGGTTTCACCCCCTGCTGCGCAAGCGCAAGGACCGATCCCTGGTACCAAAACCAAACAAACAAACAAACAAAAAACCAAAAAAACCCACACAGTATTTAAAAAAAAATGAAGGTTTAGATACTTTACAGGTTTAGGAATACCAAGTTTACATTTGAAAGCCTTTCTTGTACTTTCTTATTAAATACAACTGACTCATCCCTCAGTATCCAGGGGCTTTGGCTCCAGGACCCCCAGGGGATATAGCAAGTCATGGGTGCTCAAATCCTTTATATAAAATAGTGCAGGTTTGCACTCTGTGCACAGTCTCCTATGTACTACAAATCACCTGTAAATTAGTTATAATATCTAATATGTAAATAGTTACACTGTATTGTTTAGGAAATAATGACAGGAGAAAGTCTGGACATGTTTGGTACAGATGCATTTTTTTTAGATCAAACATTTTCTTCACTTTAAAAATATTTTTTGGGCTGGGGATTTAGCTCAGTGGCACTGCACCTGCCTTCCAAGTGCAAGGACCTGAGTTCAATCCCCGGTACCAAAAAATAATAATAATAAATAAAATTTGTTGTTGTTGTTGAGACAGGGTCTTGCTTTAGCTCAGGGTGGCTTTGACTCACTATGTGGCCCAGGCTGGCCTCGAACTCCTGCCTCAGCTTCAAGTGCAGGGATAACAGGTGTACACCACCGTGCCCAGCTTTCCTTTTAAAAAATTTTATGGTACTGAGAATTAAACCCAGGGCCTAGAGCATACCAAGCAAGTACTCTACCACTGAGTTACATCCCCATCCCTGTCCAAAAATTTTCTATCCATGGTTGGTTGCATCCCCAGTGGTATAATTTGTGGAAGTGAAATCTGGGGATACACAGGATCAATTTTATACATATACTCACATTTGCACATACACTTAATTTACTTACAGTCACATGTTCATTAACAACAAGGGTACATTCTGAGAAATACATCATTGGACATTTTTATTGTTGTGTGAACATCATAGTGTGTATTTATACTAAGCCAGCTTTGACTTCACTGGGAGATACAATATAATCTTATGGGATCTAGATCATAAATGTGGCATGTCATTTACTGAAAATATACACATGACTTTCTTTTTTTTTTTTTTTTGTACCAGATTCCTTAAGGGTGAAGCAGCCATATAGTTTCATTATAATATGGTCCATTAAAGGCTATTCTTTTGTTTGGTTTTTTTTGGTACTGGGGATTGAACTTGGGACCTTGCGCTTGTGAGGCAGGCGCCGGAACCACTGAGCTAAATCCCCGGTCCCATTAAAGGCTAATCTTAAAACCATAGTAAATCTCTACCTAAATAGATTGATAAACCTAGAGATTTTTATAATAATTTCTGCAGAGAAAAAGGACCAGGAACAATGATCACTCAAGAAGGAAAAGCTACAACATGCAAATTTTAAGTAGGCACACATCGTTTCTTTCTTCTTTAGTGAGACTGGAACTCTCTCTTCCAATGGGAAAAAGAACTTGAGCATACATTCTATACCAGCGTACTAATCGTGTTTGTATTTGAAGAAGTTTCAGTTAATACTTTTTACAGTGTACTAATTCTTGTTTTTATTTGGAGGAGCTCCATTATAACACTCTCTATATGCTAGGCCCTATGATAAGCACCTTATATATTATTGCAACCCTCCTGTGAATTCAAATAATGTTGTATTTAAAATATATATAAATAAATAAAGGCTAAAAGAAGTGACATAATTTACCCAGCTAGCAAAGACAAGTAGCAAACCTTCGAACTGAACTCATAATCCTTTGCTTTAATCATTTACTACATGACTACTTAATTTATGATCTGGCAAAATCATGCTAGCACCAAGATTTGTAAGTAACTGTAGCTTTCTAGTCGAGGGAGTAGCAGATAGACCAACTTTTATTAAAAGCAAAGAATGTTATATTCACTTCAAACATGCATGTATTAAGAATTAAAAGTAATAAATAGTTGCGGAAATTAAACATGCTAAGATTCTTACATGGTCAAGATGTTTCCATTCATCAGCCCATTCCCTCTCTGTCAAACGATGGTCTACCAATTCATCCTGATAGCCTCCATTTAGACCTATTAGAAATTGGAGATTAAATTTGAACACATAGTAAGAGAATGCTTCACAATGGAATGTGGGACCACAAAATGTCATAACCAAGTAAGGATATGTATTCAGATTATACAAAATGTGATCAAAATACATGGTGAATGTTTAAATTAAATTTAGTATTGTCAGAGACATTACCATTACCACCCTCAAAATGTTCTCCCTTCCAACACACTTATCCCACTGTTCTTGCCTCTTTGTGAAACAGTTATGGAAGTTCTCTTTCATAATAAAAAATACAGTATGATCAAAATTGCAATGAATCACCAAGGCATAGCGGCAAAACTTGGGAGGCTGAGGCAGAAGGACTGCAGTGAGTTTGAGCCCAGGCTGAACTACAAAGAAAGAATCTGTCTCAAAAAGTTAAAAAACAAACAAAAAAACCTCCACAACCACAAAAACATCTACAAAACAATGACTGCTGTTGCTGAGAGATATCCAATAGAAAAGCAGGCTTATATAAACAGTACAATGTGTCATCATCCACCTTATTCACCAAATGTGGCAATGTACAACTTCCGGCTTTTCCTCAAAGCCAAACTGACCATGAAAGATAAATGTTTTCAATCAATTCAATATACCAAGGGAGCCACAACAGTGCAACTGAAAACATGAATGAAAAAAAAAGACTTCCAGAACTGCTTCACAAAGTGGCAAGAAGAACGGGATAAGTGTATTTGATGCTAGGGAGAGTACTTTGATGGGGGATTAATGGCAACATGCCTTATTATAATAAATCTCACCACATTCTTTGACCACATTGTGTACAGCATTCCAACGAATCAAATGTGAAAGATAAATAGCCCAAAAGAGAAACAGGCAATAGAAATAAACAGGTTATGTCTGAGATAAGAAAAGTTCACATAGTCCATAAACATGAAAAACTCCCTCCAAATTGGATAGCATTTAACATCCAACATCCTAGAAAAAATTAAAATGTCAGGTAATTCTAAGTGTTGGCAAAGATGTACAATATAAATGCTTCACCACCAACACTGTGATATAAATTGAAAATATCTGATGTATTGCCAGTATTTGACACATACCAAAATTTCTAGAAATGCAATGACTCTGTGAATAAAGGGTATACTCAATCAAGCACTGACCAGGATTCTGAGAAACTCTAATTACATTTAGCAACACTGCTCATGGTCTTTGAATCATAACATCCCTGTTATGAGTCTGACTTTACATGTATTGTATTCACATTGATTCTGTATCAATCAGTGAAATAATCTGCTTCTTTTACAACACTAACATACTGTTTATTGTATTACTGCAAGATATTTACTTTTTTGTGGTGCCAAGGATTGAACCCAGGGTTTCTAGCATGTTAGGCAAGTGTCCTATCATTGAGCTATACTCCGCAGTTCAGTATTTTCTTTTTTTGTGTTATCAGGGATTAAAATCAGGACCTTGTGCTTGTCAGGCAGGCGGGGCACCACTCAGCTACATTTCCGGCCCCCCAATATTTTCTTACATATTAAAGTTAAGATAGAACATCGATCCTGAAATTATGAATGTAAGGTAGGCTTTATTGTATCCTTAAATTTCATTTCAGGAGAGCAAAGGAGGTGATACATTTGTTTAAAAAATGAGGTTGCATGATTAATGGTTTGATAAAAATCAATTATATCAAAATCATTATAACAAGGCACACATTTTCATACAGGTCTGGTGAAAATAAAAGAATCTGTAGGGAGCCTAGCAGACAAATGGTTGAAGAAACCTAAAAGAAACCATTAAGGTAGATGATCAATAGTACACTTGAAAATAGAAGTTTTTCTTTTCTTTTTTTTTCCCCCGTTGAGACAAGGTCTCCCTTTGTAGTACAGGCTGGCCCTGAACTTACTATGTAGCCCAGGCTGGCTTTGAATTCCTAGCAATCATCCTGCCTCAGCCTCCCCAGTGCTGGGATTACAAACGTGTGCTACTATGTTTTGGCTAAAAAAAGTTTTTATAAGGGGCGGGGGTTTTAGCTCAGTGGTTCCAGTGCCTGCCTCGCAAGCACAAGGTCCCAAGTACCAAAAAAAAAAAAAAAGTTTTTATAAAACTGTTAGAAATACAAGTAAAAAGCTATGTACCGTTGGCTATGGTTCCTTTATATCTCATCTTTAGAAAGGAAATAACATGGGGGCCGGGGATTTAGCTCAGTGGTTTCGCCGCCTGATGTGCAAGCTCAAGGACCCGAGTTTGATTCCTGGAACCAAAAAAATTAAAAAATAAAAAAGGAAATAAAAGGGCCGGGTATGTAGCTCAGTGGTGCTGAACCTGCCTGGGAAGTGCAAAGTCCTGAGTTCGAGCCCCAGTACAAGAAGAAAAAAAAGGAAAATAACAGTAGCTTGGGAATTTCTGTGAGAATTAAATGAGATAATGTAGTGGTAGCTGAGACTTGGTAACTGCTGGTGGCTGAGAATACCACTTTTTTCATGGCCATTCAGCTACCACTGCCTGAAGACAGCAACTCTGAAAGTGTAGTCAGAGAGGGAAAGGGCAACTGTATTGCAACTGTTTTACTCTACTCCCATACAAATGGAAACCCTGGATTGGAATAGCTCTTTGCTTTTCTACACTGACATGTGCTCAGCAGGTAAACTCCAAAGAAGCTCCTGCAACAAACTTTTCTAAGTACATGGGGGGAAAAAAAAGCCTGTCCAAAACTGATCTCAGATTAGGTATGTTAAAAGGGTTTTCTTGTTTTTGTTTCTCCCTAAATTTAATGGTATTGGAGGTCCACGTTTTAGACATTCCATTGAACAAGAGGTGGTAGAGTTATCTCTGAGGCTCAGAGCCCAAGCAATATCCGAGATCACACAGCTGGGGTTACACGTTCAGCCAAGATGTAAGTATTGATATGTTAACTCCTGTCTGCGTAGATCACCTTAAAGACCACATATTTTACATCTTTCTTATTCATTTTTTGGTACCAGGGATTAAACTCAGGACCTTGTGCTTTCGAGGCAGGCACAGTGTCACTGAGCTAAATCCCCGGGCCATATCATTCCTAATTTTAAAAACTTTTAATTCTAAAATAGACTTACAGTAGTTACAAGAGTAATAAAAATAATTATCATATACCTTTCATACATATTTCCCAAGTACTAATATTTTATCTCCTTTGCTTTTCATTCTCTATTTTGTTCTGATCCATTTCAAAAATTCATGCCCTTTAATTCATTGTATTTACTAGAATTTGTTCAGTTTTAATGCCCAATCATTATATTCATTTTATTACTTTTTCAGACCTCTCTCGATATTTCTAGCATATGAAAGCAAAAAAATATGAAGTGAGCTCAGTATCAAATGAGATAAATTGTACTTGTAATATTGTCCTCATTTACGTGTAAGTTTTTTTGTGTGTGTATGTGCAGTATTGGGAATTGAACCCAGAGTCTTTGCACATGGCTATATTCTCAGCCCTTTTATATTTTGCAGTACTGAGGACTGAACCCAAGGCCTCTGAACTGAGCTACAACCCTGCTTTTAAAAAAACTTTTCATTTGAGACAGGATCTCACTAATTCATTAAATTGTCTGGGCTTGGTTTGAACTTTCGGGCCTCCCAGAGTACTGGGATTACAGGTATGTGCCAACATACCCAGCTGACACTGTTTTATCTGTTTTTGTTGTTGTTTATTTTTTTGAGACAGGATCTTGCTATGTAGTTCCTACTGACTTTGAACTCACTATGTAGCCTAGGCCTCAAACTCATTGTGATCCTCCTGCCTCAGCCTCCCAAGTGCTGGGATTACAGGCCTGCATTGCCATGCCCAGCTGTTTTATCTTAACAGAAGGAAAAAAAAGTAATGATGATATTATTTGACTTTCTCATTGAGTAGCAAAGAAATCTAGATATTCTGTCTTAATTTAAAGCATTTCCATGCTATCTAGATCACTTACCAAGATTGTGGTGCCTCTCACGAGCTTCCCTATGTTCTAGCATCTTGTTGGGTTCCCGATACAGGTGGGAAGTTGCAATATCTTCTAAGGTGTAGTGCTGAAGAGGTGGAGGAGTGGGATGGAACTGGCCCCCTGGATTCATAAGGGGAACAGTGAGTGCAGGACTATGCCGAGGAGCAGGGCTGATGGTACACACTCTCTTGGCAGGAGGTTCAGGAGGAACAGTATCTCTATCAAAATTACCTTCTTCTCTCCTGTAGAAGAACCAGACATGGTATCTTAGTCTGTCAACAAGCATCCATACAGACATTTCCTAAGCACTGGCCTGTTATGTGTTATGTTACATACAGTACTTTCCCAAGCAGGAAGACTGTAAGAAAAGGATTTTCTTTTTTTTGGTATTGGGGATTGAACCTAGGTCCTTGCATATGATATACACACTTTACACTTCCATCCTTTCTAAGGAAAGGGTTATTTCATTTTTTTGGTTGGTTTTTGGATTTTGGAGACAGGTTCTCCCTATGTAGTTAAGGCTGACCAGGATCTCATTATGTAGCCCAGTCTGGCCTAGAACTCACAGGGATCCACCTGTTTCAGCCTCTCATATGCTAGAATTACAGGGGTGTGCCACCATGCCCAATGGGTAGTTTATTTTTGAGACAAGGTTCCATTATGCAGTTCAGGCTGACCTCAAACTCTTGGTAGTCCTGCCTCAGCCTTGCAAGTGCTGGGATTATAAGCATTTACTACCATGCCCAAACTGTTTTTGGTTT